AAAAATCTTTACTACTCAATTAATTATCAACCCTTTAACGCCATTAGGACAGTTCAGTCCTCCTTCAAAATAAGCTCCATTGGTACTAGACTCGTAACAGAAGGTAATATTGTCGTTTGAAACACTTTCAATACGTGTCTTTGTAGCCTTCGCCTGATGCACCACCAAAACTCATCACATCGGCGGCATCAGTCTGCTGTGGGTCACACCAACGTGCTATTGGGTGCATTTTTCAAAAAAATAATTTGGTAGTTAAAAAATTAAAGGGAGCAATCAGTAAACAATAGCAAAGTCAAGAGGTTTCCCTTGACGTAGTTTTGCCTTTATCGAAACTATTTTAGTTCAAAATATTCCACTAACCTGGTTCTATCATCTAATTGCCAGATAGTTGTCGTGTTTGAATAGTTACGATACTCATTTCTATAAACATACGAAAGAGTTGATTGGAACTTCCCTCAGTTGCAAAATGAATCCTCAATAAGTCGTGAAATATGAAAGAACACGTGAGTGGAAAGCCGGTGAACAACCGATATCCCTCAAAGATAGGAATTGAATAAGTTCAGCACTTAATCTGCGTCGGCCAATGTTGAACCAAAATAATAATTATGTAGGAAGAAGTCCTAATCCATTTTCAAGGTTCTCCTTCAAAATAAACTCCATTAGCACTAGACTCGTAACAGAAGCGGCGCTATTGCCGCTTGAAACATATTCAATACGTGTCTATGCAGCCTTTGCCTGATGCACCACCAAAACTCATCACGTCGGCGGGATCGGTCAGATGTGAGGCACTCGTGAGTGCGGTTGGGTGCATATTTCAAAGAAATTATTAAGTCGTTAAAGGGTTAAATCCTCAATCAGATGAGTTGTAACAACCTTATTAAAGGTATTAACATCGTAAGAATATGCTTCGGAAAAAGTATACGAAAGGAAGTAAAATCGTCTTTAAATTTCAAAAATTGAGAGCCAACTCTCGGTTTATAGCACCTTAAGGCAGTCATAAAAGCAATATGATATCACCACAAATTTTTGAACCCAAACGGGAATGTATGCCTTCTTTTGTCTTCAAATACATATTACTGGCTGAAGAATAATGTTCCGATGAAAAACGCTGTTGGTTACCAACCTTCGTTGACGAAAACGGATTGCCTTGAAAGAACCCCTCAAATAAATTTATATGTCAAGTGCTTTGTAAGTTAAAATGTACCAATTTCAGTTGAAATTACAAAAAAATTCCCTTTTTCAAACACGAAATCTTCGTAATTTGCATACCAACATTGAAAGTGACACATAATCGGTTCCTCCCATGCAATTTTGGAAAAATTTTGGCAAGGTTATGCGGGCTTTAAGATTGGAAGTTGGTATAGTTAGGATTAAAGCATTGTGGGCAAAAAACAACAAACGGCAGAATACAGACGAGTACAGAGACCGTTCGTTCAGCTTTGTAGCGGATTGCTACTTTAGTAAAGCCTGACTGACTCAGAAATCTCTATGGCAGATTCTCCTACACATAGCTAGACTCCCAGAACCAACTAAGCTATAGCCCAGCTATAAAAGAAACAGACGCGTAGCACGGCGTACGTTTATCCAGCACGCATATTGTGGAAAAAGTGTACAAGCAGGGAGCTACTCATGGTCAGGATGGGGGATTAGGTTAAACAGAGGTTGATGATTGGTCACTGTTATTACGGTCGCTGCACACAGTGTTGTACGGCGCACCTCCCAATCCTGGCGAGCAGACACGCAGGCATACGATGACGCACACAGCGATAACGGGTCCCACAGCTTTAGTGCAGCCTTTTTTGTGACAGTTGGCGTGACACCGTTCATTTATATTCTTTAAGAGGGGTGTGCGATAGACTTACCTCCACGTGGTGCAGCCTGGGCAACGTATACTCATACGGCAAAAAAGTCTATTAACCGGCAGTTGACTTCAGACTCCAAACTACCATCACCCCACTGTATGTCAAATTCGGCTACTTCAACCGTACTCACCTCACCTTTTTTCCAACTTTGTGTCTGTCTCTTTTACATCTTTGAAACACTCTTCTGTCCCCCCCCCCATCTCGACCTTTTTCACTTTGATGTTCCTTCCCATCTGTGAAGCCTGAAGTCAACTAAAGGGCTAATGATAACTATCAAAACGCCTGCCATTTGATATAAATAAATAGATATTCTTTAAGAAATTTTTCTGTAACAAATCAAACTTACACCATTTACGATCGGGACATTTAGAACGATAGCTGTCATTAACGCAGCGAAATTCAGAGGTTAGATCGATTGGAGTTGATGATAAGTAAAATTGAGAGAGAGGCTTATTTGTGCCAGTTCGATAGATCGATGATTGAGAATTTAGGTTCAGCGGTTTCTACATTGGACTTTGGGGCAGAGACTAATGTCAAGTTGACACCACCTACATTCTTAAGCCAACTCAAAAGGTGCCTGTCATAAGTCGAGATTGAGAATTGCACTAGATGGAGCACACAATTATTAATAGACCATTTTTTATGAAATCAATGAATTTTGAGATATTCAATGAAATGAGGTAAATCCTTGGGAACACAGAATTTTTTTATTGTTATAAAATTTCGATCGCAGCATTGATTTGTGCTTTTTAAAGCTGCATGCATTACTTGCGTCTCCTTTCTATTTTTTTATCTAGCACATGAGACACAAACATCGAATGTGTTTACTCGGTTAAATTATTTCCTATGGCTAGCAACAATAGTCGTATTTGAGCTTGGGAACTACACCAGGTGCCACTAACTATTTTATTAGTGATATAATTATATAACACAACTGACACTAAGATGTAGATGTTGCTGGCATTTTTCTATAGTTAGGAAACCAATAGGATTTAACTTGTTACAGATACAATTTTGTTCCCAATATTACAAATCATGGATGGAAGAATATTCAACTTCAACGATTTTTGTCATTTTGATGGACCGATAACCGAGCATATCTGAGTGAGTATTGAACGCAACTATTGAAAGCATGTTTATTTAAAGCTTATATCTTAGAACAAGTAGAAACTTCCACAGACAAATTTGTTGGATTGGGATGGGGGGGGGGAAGTAAGGAGGAATGAGAATTTCCATCGAGTTTCAGTGATTTACGAAAAGAATAGGATGTACTGAAGAAACTTTGGAAGTTGGACAAACGTCTATGGTCACCTAAGGGTGTTGGAGTTGATTGCGCATAAGCGATTACGTTATCACAAATTGCATTACAGATAAGGAGACTGTAAAGCTCACAACACTATCATGGCTGGACAAAGAAATCAGACAGACTCCAAGATGTGGTCGTACAACTTGTCACGTAGTGAGCTCAGAGACTATCTAGCCAGCCACCAATTAATGGTCCCTGTCTTGTTTAACAAATGCGTCATTGCATTTTAATGACTAAGCGCCGTGTCAGTTACGTACAGACCAAGTAAGCGTATTCCACACTATAGGTCTGTTTCCTCTCTGTACCCCTGCTGATCCTGGGAGCCCATCCAAACTGGAAGATAATACCGTAGAGATTACTGAGCAAATGTCAAGGCTTGTTAGAGTAGCAATCCTCCACAAGAGGAAGCCTAAAAGTGAAATTCAGGTATTGTAAAAAGAAATACGGCCGAGTTATTCGAACAATTAGGTTTTTGACATTTAATTCAAAATTTCATTTAAATGGTAGTAAATTGCCTAAGAGAAGTTTCCCCCTGGTACAATCACGATAGCTAACCCGTAAAGTGTATAAAACATTCCAAGTGCCCAAAATAATATTTTTTGTGAGAACGCTAATCACAAAACATTAGAATTTTGTTTTTAAAGTAACCAAGTTTTATGGAAGTATATAAATGTGATTTTTAATCATTTCTAATTTCGTTGACGTGTGTTGTTAGCGCCGTTGTCATAGCTTGCATAAGAACTCAGTGTTGATTTGAAGAAATTGATTCAATAGTATTCTTTCGGAAGATGCCTAACAACCAAACTTTTCGTATTTATTTATTTATTTATATCAAGTGGCAGGCGAATATTATTACTTATTTATTTTATTTATTTATTTATTTATATCAAGTGGCAGGCGTTTGATAGTTATCATTAGACCTTTAGTTGACTTCAGGCTTCACAGAGAGGAAGGCACATCAAAGTGAGGAAAATTCGAGAGGGGGAGAGTGATTCACAGATGTAAAGGAGACAGAAAGACACAAAGGCAGAGAAGAGGTAAGATAAGTACTGTAGAAGTGGTCGAATATGACATACAGTGGGGTGATGGTAGTTTGGAGTCCGAAGTCAACTGCCGGTTAATAGACTGTTTTGCCGCATGAGTATACGTTGCCCAGGGCGCACCACGTGGAGGTAAGTCTATCGCACACCCTGGTTCATGAACATCATAAGACATGTTTATGATTTTCAAAAGAGCCATTACGAATTCATAATTTGCTTAATTTTCGAATTCTCGTTAAAACGATAACTGATATCCCCCAACTCATAGGTTTTGGATAGGCAATAACTTTCATTAAGGCCATAGAGAAATATTGGAATTATCGGAAAGAATGCAGTTAAGCACCCCGAGAGTGAAATTTTCGAGCCCTATATATTTTTTTTGCATTTTTGTATAAAAACGTCCCCCCAGTCCACAAGAATAAAGGAAGAAAATAACTTGTGCTGCGATGATTCACATCAAGCAGTAAAATAAGTAGATCACAGTCAATGATCCATGAAAACTGAACAAGCCTTCATGAATTGGAGAATTTTAATGACTACTACGAGATCGTTGCGACTAGGAGAGGGACAAGAAATATTTTCTCGTTTGACCCGAATGGCAGATTTTCGATCAAACCTCTTGGTCTCATCAGGTGTTAAGGCACTTTCATTTTAAGAGAATTTAAAGTAGTATCACAGATAGTCAAAAGACGCCTATTACGAGACAAAAAGGTATACGTTCTTGAGCTCAAAAAAATAAATGTATATACAAATTCGATGAACCGTTTTCATTGCAAAGAAGGGGAAAGAAAATTAAGGAGAATTAGAAAGCGACTGATCTCGGAAGGCGATACAAGTAATAGCCCGTTGGTGACCCTTGTACTCCAATCGAGGTTCTGGAGCGGAACCAGATGCTGCATCTCCACTGGTTGAATATGAGGTAGTAAGACTTCGTTGCTGACTCTCCTCAAGACTCCACAAACGAGCAGTGCCATCGGAATGCGCTGAAATGAGATAGCGCGAATCCGCGCTGAAGGCACAATCCCAAGACCAAAATGTCCTCGAGTCACTACAAGTGGGGAGAAAAAGAAGTCGAGGCTGTTTTGAAGTAGAAAAGATAGATACATCTACAATATATTGTTGATATTGTTGACTTCCAAATACTTCAGGATTCGTGACACAAACGAATGAACAATATGATGCATGAAGAATGAATACCCGGAAATATCACTTAATCCATTCCACTTTCAAGATTCTCAAAGTATGTTTCAAACGAACTCAAACGACAAATACACACGAGGAATTAAATTCATTAAAGTATTGTAGTCCTATCTAACTTTAATTGAAAGAAAATACAAGACCAAGATGATACCCACGTAAATGTATCTTCCCCCACTCAAGTGTATGCTAGTTCCAGCCAAATGAGAAAAAAATTACAAATATATGCAGCTGGTAAAACATAATCGCAAGAACTGGGAGCCATCAAAAGGGTATCTAAAGGAAACAAAAAAACTACCAAGAAACTTCTCCTAATTTGACAAAAATACAATAAGCATTAAGTAATATGACACATTGCAGAAGAGCACACAAGAGAAATATACATAAAACCACTTAAAATTGATTCTATCTCAAATGAAATCGAAAACGTACAACACCTCAGCAAAAAATCGTATTTTGTAATTTCTAAGTAGTACAAAATGGAAATTTAAAGTAGACCTATTTACCAGGTCACTACGGAACACCAACCCACTGCAAGTCATTAATATTCCCAGTATTAATTCAGCTGCGTCATAATTTAATATCAACATTTAATTCAAAATAGAAAGCATAAATTGTGACCAGTTCGCCCACTTAAATGAGACTAATCAAAAAGTAAAAACAAGAGGGAACTAAGTCATTCCATTTTGATAAACTTTAAGTTTTGATACTTACGCGCTGGTAGTGTTAACAGATGGTTGTAGAATCGCGGTGACGCTGAAGTCGGCTGTGCGGATTAGATTGACCTTGCCATCGGCACCACAAGTAGCCAATAGAGTACTGTCTGGTGAGAACTCGCATTTGAGAGCATAAGAAGAGTGGACGGGTTTGTTGTACTGCATACAAGAATTAAAACAAGTCCAATAAAAGAGAGGAGAAATAAAAGTAGATATTATTTAAGATCTCTATTACGGTGGGGTTTGCACTAAAAAACTTTTCCTCCCAAGTTCCGAAAACGATATAACATAGATTTGAAACATGAGTTATTTACCCAACTTGAGAAATGGTGACCCTATTCAACATAAAAGATATACGAAACAAAGTATATAGATAAAGAATTAAATGCCTTTACATGTGCTCTTAATTGCAATTAGATATGATTCTAACAGATATTTGGAAGTCAAATCCAAAATGTGGAATAAATAAATAGAAATAACAAAATAGCAATAAATAAAGGGCTAAATTCCAGTAATAACAACCGACCTTCAATCAAAAAGGTAAAACGACAGTTAACTAATCAAATATAAATATCGCTCAAAACAACAAAAATACCTTGGGAATGGGTTTGAAGTTCATACTTCCAACAAGAGACCAAAGTAGGAGAGCACCAGAAGCATTCGTAGCCGCCAACGATGTACCCTCCGGATTGATTGAGAGGGAAAGAATCGCACCCCCATGCAAATCGGGACAAATAACGTTAACCTGGCCATTTCTCAAGTCCCAACAGTAGATCTCACCTTTGTCATTCCCAAAGAGAATTTCCGTTTGGTTGGGATGTAATACCATTGTGTTAATATTTGACGAACTCTAGGAAAAAATGCAAAGATGGAGTTTCAGGCATACATGACAAGAACCCGACGAGGCTTGTGTTCCATGATTCGAGCTTCGCCAGTCAAATATTTTTGCTATTTTATCCTCACCCCCGGCATAGGTCCAACGTCCTCTGGCATCATGACCAATAACATTCACATTTTTTGCAAAATCTTTGACTGAATTAATGTGGTTAGCGCCTCCTTGGACATCGTAAATTCGAATTCGAGCAAATCCAGCAGCAGCCAAAAATCGGCCATCTGGAGTGAAGGCCAACGAATTCACCTATACAACAATTAAAATTCAGTATGGAAGTTAAGTGTAAAAAATGAAGAAAGATGTAGTCTTTTAATAAAGCCTTGTAGATGAGAGTTAACATACTTGGGAATCATTGTGATCAAATCCTTTAATATATCTGCCAGTACTGGGCTGCCACATACGAATAATATGATCGAATCCACCGGTTGCAAAAGAAATCGACTGATCACCCGTTTCATCCCTCATTTTAAGCTACTCTGAGATAGTGCAAGATAAAAGGTATAGAGATGCTCTACCAAGAGGATGAAACCGAAACTGTGTAACGACTAACCAATCACACTCCCTCCCCTTTAATGCGCCAATCACAAGCATCGGAGGAGTTGGAACTAACGACGACAGCCGAAAGGCATCAAATGTCAGGAACGCAAAAATCCAAGGAAGATAAGAAGGCCTGAACAGTTTGCACTAACACCTGTTACCTCTGTCCCTTCTGTATTCTGTTCTATGTATTAATCCTTACATTCCGTAAAGTGGCAATTGGATTCTGTATTGCTTAATACGAAAATTCAGTTTCTGGATTATATAGGTGACGTGATGAGTAAATGGCATCACTATTGCATATTCTGCGGATTTAAACGTTAGAAAGATGTTACACGTTATGGTTTGAAAGGAATTGGAATTTGAATATGATTTAGCAATACGATATATAAAAAACCAAAAAGTTCTAAAAAAGTCCTTCGAAGTGAACGAAGGGTATATAAGAAAATGATAGTTATCAATTTATTACAGTACTAAGATTTCATATGTTACTTTTTTCTTGATCTTGCTATTATGCAGAATTTAAAAATCATCATTAGTGATATTGAAAATTTCAGTTTTAAATAAAACTTTCAGTCCGATAACTTGGATTCATTTTAATTAAATTAATTCAATTTTCGATGTTTACTTTGATTGCATTAGACATTTATATAAATCAAAAGTCAATGTGTTCATTTCGCTAACATAAAATTTGTACTTAAGATGGAATAGTTGCGACTACTCTGACAGTTTATTTAAGATATTTGTTTATTTCAAACGGCAGGCGTTTTGTTAGTTATCATCACCCCTTTATCTGACTTCAGGTTTCACAGAGGAGGAGTGAGAACACTAAAGTGACAAAAATCGATAGGGGGGGGGGACAAAATACTGATTCATAGAAGTTAAAAAGACAGACAGACACAAATGTTGATTAAAAAGTAAGCCGAGATCTGCTAAAATCTTACAAAATGGCATACAGTGTGGTGATGGTAGTTAGAAGTCAGAAGTCAACTGCCAGTTTATAGACTTTTTGTCATAAGAGTATACGTTGCCCAGGTTGCATCTCGTGGAGGTAAGTCTATCACACACCCATTTTTTAAGATATTGTATTATATTATGCAAAATTGGTTTTATTCACACTTAAATACCCATGACTGTTGTTAAAAACTCAGCACATTTATTCCAGATCAGTTTAATTCTATCGATGCCAACTGAAGATGAACCATTGCTAGCAGAGCTTTATTACAAGATCCTCCATAGCTTTTTGAGTTGTCAAGGTTTCCATTTAGTGTGATTAGTTCCACTCTTAATCGGCGATTAAAATTTTGGTTAAAAGCTTGTATGTTTAGGTAGTGAAATGTTGAGTATTTGTTATATAACAGCATCGGAGCAATAAAAGAAGTTATTAATCTTGTAAACGAGGAAATCGGGGTGACTCAAATTCTACAGTAGTCAATTTTAATTTATAACCCTATTGTTTGAAAGATTGATTGCACTTGACTGTGGCATCCTTAGATGTTTTAATTTGAATAAGGTGAGCTACAAAATACACCCGGAAAAAGGTTAAACACTATAATAAGGTCCAGATAACTCATAATAAGTTAAGTGAATTGACTCTTTACGGGACGGGCTATATGGATCACTGGCGAATCAGTTGCCCTAATTTGTGTTAAATATTTCAAGAAATGTCGACTTAGCAGATTTTGATTAAGGGTTTCTATGTGATATGCGATGCCCTTACATATCCAACAGCTAATATATGTAGCGTTGTTTCCAGTGGTATATTCAGAGGTTTAATGACTGTTTGCTGTTTTTTCCTTATCTGAGTATTGTAATGTGTTAAGGTATTTGAACTGTAAGTTTGTAGAATCATAGCGTTCAAGTAAAATCGAAAACCTTGTCATATTAATGTATCTTGATGTGAATTTGTTACTTGTGAGATTAAAGAGGAAGTATGGGCAATAGGTCTTGTTTGTCAACAGTGCTCAATCATATGTTTCCAAAACCACGTTATTGTAATTTTACCTAGCTGCTGCATTTAATTGCCCTTAGAATAAGTAAAATTGTAAAAATAATCAAAGGATATAATAAGGAGAAGCGTTGACCTATGGTGGCTAGATAATAAGTTGAATCGATTTTTATAAATAAACAATTTAAACCAATATATAACTTTTTATCAAAACCCTTAATCAATAATAATATAAATACTAATTAATTTTAAATTAAACTTACAATGATGAAATATAATTGTGGGCCTATTTTACAGTAACTTTAGGATGATTAAAGTTTTCTTGACTTAGTTTAATTTTTTCGAAATAAAGGCACCGTCTACGAATAACCCAATCATTTGTTAGCTTTGAGTTGCTTTATTTTTATTAAACTCAAGGTGATAGTTGTAAGCCTTCATCGAGTTGGAAATGGCTACCAGTCGTAAAAAGATCCTTCTTAAAGTTATCATACTTGGTGATAGCGGGTATGGTATTGGTATTTACTTGTATATCTTTTAGTGTTGGTAAAACGTCGCTCATGAATCAGTATGTAACACAACGGTTCAGTAACCAATACAAAGCAACGATCGGTGCTGATTTTCTTACGAAGGAAACGGTAGTCGATGATCGAGTCGTTACTCTTCAAATTTGGGACACTGCCGGTCAAGAACGTTTTCAATCTTTGGGTGTTGCTTTTTATCGCGGTGCCGATTGCTGTGTACTGGTTTATGATGTTACGATGCCAAACACGTTTAAAACTCTGGATTCGTGGAGAGACGAGTTTTTGATTCAGGCTAGTCCCAGGGATCCTGAGAACTTTCCATTTATTTTGATCGGAAACAAAATTGATCTACCTCAACGCGCAGTAAGTATCTTTTAAGCCATTATTTCACCTTTTTTACCGTTACTTGATAAAAACTACTGCCAAAATTCAAATTAAACTTAGATCACGGAGAGACGGGCTCAACAATGGTGCCAAGCAAAGGGAAATATTCCTTACTTTGAGTGCAGTGCTAAGGAAACAACAAATGTCAAGGACGCTTTTCAGGAAGTAGCGCGTGTTGCTTTGGCACAGGAAAATGAGGTTCGTTTATCTTTTAGCCATTGTTATTCAATACTCATATTAATTCAACTACATTTTTCCGTCAGCCTGATACCACAAACGACTGTCCCGATCAAATTCACCTTGGAACCCCAAGGCCGAATCATCACAGCAATTGTGGCTGTTAATACAACATACTAACTCGAATAAGTGGACAAACTCCCACTATACACTTCTACTTTCATACTTCGCGGAATCTCATTCGATTAAATAGAATATAAGCTTACCATTAGTTTTCTGATACCTAACTTTATTGCATAAAATTGGCCTCTTCCTCTCTCACACCTTAATGTCTCCCCACCCGTTAATATTGTTTACTCGCTCTCCTGAACTTTATCATCAAGGTACATAATTCTTTTTTCACTTGATTTTGCGTTTCGCTTGTTCACATTGCACGCATCTTATCTTGACGTATACGCGTATTTCGTTCGTCTAGTTTTTTTTCCTATGGAGTTGATGCGATGCTGCCATCGTCCCTAACCCCATGTAAATAATTATGCAATAAATCGATTTGGCATATTCCCTATACATATTTTTAAAATTTATTATTGTGGTGTGATTGTGCGGCTGGATTTATCGATTGGACCTCAATCGCCTTTTTTTTGTTTTTTTTTGCTTCAATAAAACTTTTAGCCGCTTTTGTCGACTTAGTTTATCAGGTTTTACTTTAATCGTAGTAATGTGCCCTTCTTCCGATGGACTGTTTTACCTGATCTGCCGAGTTTCATCAGTATTTTCACTTATCCCACACTTGTATTATTTGTGGCTACGAGTACTAGAGGTGTTACTCATTGTTTCTATAATCGAAATAAGTCTTTCTCATTTTAAACGAGCAGATTTGATCTGATTTGTTCTCGTTTCATTATTATTTTTTCTGGGGGTTATTTCATCGACCTTTTTAAAGATTTTTGGAGTGCCTATCGGTTCCCATCTAAATCACAAGTTTTGATTTTCCCTTCACGCCGTAGCATGTCGATGTTATCACTATTTTGAATGAAAAATTCGTCATCCGTTAAACATGTCGAATTTGTGACTACTTTGCCTAAACTGTTTCAGCTAATGATATTGGGGGGTTGTGGTCCTAGCACCACAATCGGATGTATTACTGGTTTGGCGTTAGAATTAAGCCAAGTTTTATGCGCATTCAGACGTTTCTCGATAAACTCATTTATTGGTCTCTCTGCGTGGCTTTGACATAGGTTTCCAAACTTTGTGTCACAAATGTGAGCAAGAGTTGTTCACTTCATTTTTGCTGTTGTTTTTTTTCCGTTGAGCTGTTATCAGTATGAATTTATTTCATAGGTGATTTAGCTTTGTTTTTCTAAATTTCTTTACGTCCCAGCAATGTAAGCCCATTTAAGGTGTCTGACTATACTCCTACCTATCAACCTTTATGTCTGCATAAGAAATTAGGTCCCTCTGATTCGTCTCTGTAGTCACTTCTACGGCGAAAGAGAGTGGGTGGGGGGTTCTATCATTGACTGTCCGACAATGTCCTTTCAAATCATGAATCACCTTGTATTTTATAGTCATCGAATGTATATGGTAACGCGAGATTTTAGCACACACACGCACACACAATGTGAACTGTGACCAGATGACAATGAGACCATCTGTTATTACTGCTTCATTGTGACCTGAATAGTTTATGTCTATAAATTTCCGTCTGGTTTGAGGCTATTATGAGCTTGATCTCGTCACTCAACCCCAAGTTATGCGTAATATTCCGCCACCCTACCTACTTATTGTATGCTTAAGCTAGGCATTTGTTTTACCCCTTTTCTATTTTCGCTTTTCAAAGTGCTGGAAGTGGAAGTGTGCGAGATTCTAGAAGATGTACTTATTAGTGTGTGTAGATAACCGTATTCTTCTTTCATCATGAGGCTTGACAGCGGCATTTTCAAACTGGACACGACTCTGAGAGAGAGAGAGCGCGCGGATTATTAAAGTCATCGTTCTTGAAGAATTTAAGTTCCTGCGTTGCTATACTCACTCTTTCTTGCATTTTGATGATAATTGTGGAGACGTTAAAATTGGTTGCGGCTTTTCTACTTGCTGCTGTTGTTGAAGAATGATAGTTTGTTTTTCTTTTGTGAAAGCAGATTATCTTAGCTCGTCAAGCTGTCTTATGTGGAGAAGTCGCCAGAGTTTTTTTCCCTCTAGAAGATTAAATAGGCTCCTTGGAAATCTCTTGAACAACATTTATTTCGAGACGAAACAATATGAGCACCATGATGAATAAAATGAAATTACGAATGCTAGCATCTAATTTATCTTCCTCTCCACTTTGCCTTAGCGTGGATTATCTTCTGCGGCGGTTCTATTCTAGCCCTTTCATGTTTCTGGTTCTCATTTGGTACTTAGATTTTTCATTTAATTCGACCAAAGTTCAGCTTTCACCTGCATGTACTTTTCTTGCGTTACTGGACTGCTTAGTGAGTTGTTGTGTATTAGCTGGTTCAGTCTTGCCTGTTCGTGTACGCCACCATTCATTTTGGCAGTCGATAGACTTCATTTTTGTGACCTTAGTTCGGCACACTCATTCACTGGATTAAATATCGATCGGTTAATTTCTACCTCGCGTGATTACATTAATCTAGATGACGTAAGATTAATAGTGTCGCCCATCTACCGATACAGTAGCAGATTAGTTTAATGTAACCTAATTGCGAATAATACCGAACACTGAGCGCGTATGTTTATAGGAGACGTACGCAAGCTAGCTTTTCTTCATCGTGGCCACTACTGTGTTTACACTAACCTACGACGTCATGTTTATCACTTTGGAGTTGAAATAGGATTTTCTATTCTCAGAATTGTATTTTTAATTCCCGAAACTCGTTTCGAGCATGTTATCAAACAACTAACTCACTTTTGGCATTCACATAGGCTGCACTATGGACCTATGGCTTATAATTAACTGATACAGGCAGCTAATTGGATTCAAAGGTCACGACAGACCACTGTGATATTTGTGGCACCGGTTAATTCGATTTTTCCTAAACATCCATTATTTGATAAACACTAAGTTAGGCATTTTGAATCCCGATTCTGCCAAATCCGTCAGTATTTTGATCAAACTAGACGAACTTGGCCATGACATTTCTGGGGGATTACATCTAATCAGTTTTGCCTAACCTTAATCTAATTCTGCTTGATCGTGATAATATCATTTGTGAGATTAATTACATCCTCCTACTTTTAGCAATTCAGTAGTACTGCCATTTCGGAATGTCGAGTAGAGAGAAACCACGCGAAATACAGAAAAAGAATGCACAAGACCTCCTAGAGGCACAGGACTGTGTTGCCTGTCGGATATTCGGTTCAACAGCATGTCTGGCTATGGCCGGATACACAGCTTACTGGAGCTATAGGCAACAAGCTCAATATAAAGGACCAACCCGAATGATCTATTTGGCTTCGTGCATCGGCCTTGCCTCTGGTTAGTTCAGTTTTCGCCTTCATTGTCACACACTCACCTTTAGGTCTAACATATCTGGGAGTCAGAAGAATTTTCTACTAACCTCTGCTACCTAACGGCGTTTGAAATAAATACATATTTACCACTCTCCTTTACTAATAACAGATAAATAGTTATTTACGCGGGAAAAAGATTTACCAAAAAATTCACACTCAGTGGTTAACCTAGAGAATTGATTCCGTCTGATAGAATTGAAGAATCGCACAAGAGGGTTCTAACGTGATAATCTTAGATAAAAAGTTATGCATGTACATTGCTACAGAAAGAGCGAATTTATAGAAGTGATATCGGAATATATATAGATATATACACATCTTTACAAGAAACGCCTATTGTGTATCATCTGGTATGAGATAGGGCGGTGAATTATAATCGATCATTAGGTCGTTGGGATCGTCAGTAAAAACACTTTGATAGGAAGAAGAATTCGGTTCCGGGGGAGACCGGTTTGCGGACGAAATGGCAACCTGCCCTTGTTTCCAAGAAGCCAAAACATCCTTCAATACGGCCAGGTTTTGTGCCAACAGTTCCTCACTAGATGCCTCTGCAACTTCCTTGATTTCTTGAAGAATCGACTCCAAATTGTCTTTAGTATCCTCGTGTTTTACATTTACTCGAGGAATATCTGATCGGCGCCTTAAGCGACTTCGCATATTCTTAACATCAGCCTTTGTACAATACTTTCCAAATTGCTCTGAGATAGATGGAAAAAATAGAGTAAACATACAACTTACTTTTAATTATCTCCACAACTAAGCCATTATCATAAGGCAGCCTTAAGAGTTCATCCACAATTTTCTGTTCATGCTCTTCAAGCCGCCTATTACGTGGATACATTTTCGCAGATTCTGGTGTCACAGGATGATTATGTCGCATATCATAACTGGTGATTCGTAAATGACCATTTGAGTAATTCAAATAGATCTGGGAGCTGCAACCTAGCTTTGATGTTCTAGAAGACAAAGAACGTCAAGTAAGGAAGTCAGTATTAGTTACCGCTGATTGACACGTTTAGTTGCACAACTGACACAGGTTCCATAATGATAACAAACATACTTCAAATTGCTATAAACTAATGAATCCCGCATAGGATGACCTTCTGGAAATCTCCTTGAATTGAGTTTTACATAGAGGGCTCCAGTTGCCTAAGCAATTTTGGTAAACTTAACTAATCATACCACTTCGAATTGACGCAGTCGCTCTGATAGTTCTTCGAAACTCGAAAATTCATCCGAAGTAAAGAATTTTCTAAATTCGCGGGATAAATCATACCCTGTTAATTCATCTATAGGGGATATTTTGTATAAGCAACATTAGAATACATTTCTCCGTTCCTTCATTTTCGTTAGATATGTTATTAGTACTAAATAAATCACTGTGCTGCATGCTATATGACTCAATTTGTAATAAATTGCGGGACCGTTGCAGTATGATGAATGAAGAGCAACTAGGCATTTAGTTTTAAAGTTTAAAAGATAATCATACTTGATGAGCTCATCAATCTTTCCGTTAGGGTCCGGATTGTGATGTGAACATACAAAATGAATACGATTGTAAACGAGCTTGCGAAATAGTTCGGAGTTCTCCTGAATACTATCAGCGGACTTTACAGTGTAAATTAAACCATTTTCCTGCAAACAATGTGAGCAAGAGGATAGACTTTACCTTTTGGAACCTATCAAGACAGTTCCAAAAGCTTTTGAAGCTTTCAAAATAAAGAGGGTAAAATTTTCTTTGGAACTGAGCATTAAAATCCATCAGTAACAAAAATACGGCCCACAACTAATAGGTCAGCCGCGACCTAGACTTAGATTTTAAACCTGGGACTTCCCAGTTCATTCTTTAAAACAAATAAAACGAAGCAAGCAAACATCTAAATAAAAGTCTAATTATTACGCACAGCACGCGTTAATTCTAAACGATGCTTGATTCTACCCTTTGAAAGCGTATTCATATTTAAATTCACAGTTATTAATTTAAAAAATTACAAAAAGTTAATGATTAAAAAAATTTATGGACTGGCTGTTAGATTAACGTTATTTACCATTAGAACGTAAAATTCTTTTGCAACGACATCTTGGTTTAGAGAGAAAAAGTGGTTTTTTTCTCAAAAAATTATTTTTAAATACATATTTTTAACAATTATAACGAGCTTTAATATTAAATTTCGTGGGGGGAGGGGGGGGGGGTAATAAATCTTAAGTGTTTGATGACTACACTTTCCTAAGCATTTTAATGAATTGAAAATCAGAGCGATATGTCTACTACTTTCCTTGTCCAATTATTCTCAATATCTGGAGCATTAACTCGTCGACCGTATATCAACGCTCAGAGGGATGAGATGAAAAAGTGAAATAAACATTTGAAATATATTTAATGAATTAAGTAAATGCTTGATTGCTCCAAATTCAAATAGATCCAGGCCCACTTTACCCTATTCTGATGTGACTTGGCGCATTAACATTTCTCTAAAATAGAGCGAGATATTTGTCCATTCAAAATAACCCTTTAAGCAGTTGCTAACTAATTTCTTTCTATTCGCGTGAATTTTTTTGGGCTCTTTGCATTGCTAAATACGAAATGTACTCAGAATATTACAGATAACTTTGAAATCAGCATTAATTGGATGCCGCATGAATCTGCATTTGCTTCAGAGTTTTTTGATGGCCTATAAAGTTTAACTAGAGTGTGTTTTTGGTAATGGTGTTAATACAAATGTAAGACAATAAGTAGTTCAGATTCTAATTACTAAATCAATTTTACGAAATTTAAGTCAAAATATATGAATAATTGGTTTTCAACATTCATTTAGTATTGTTGTATTCATTAAATCATATGCTTAATCCCTTCACCATGACGTACCTGAACCAAAGACGAACGACTGAATTATACCCATCTTCAATTATGCTTAGGAGCACAAATCACACTCATTGAACATTTGGTTAAAGCAAATCCACTCTCAGAGTTTGTGTCGCCAAAACTAACTGCCGAATTTTCAACATCTTGCACAAATATCAAATGAAGTATTAATATGAGTTTCGTGATTAATATTGATATTATACCTGCATTAATGGACTTCTGGAAACTCAATGAATGTTTGCTTCGAGTTATAAGTTACCACAAGTGTATTTCTAACATAAGTGCATTGATTTTTCAGTTCTAATACTTTCTTCTTCAAAATAAATAAAGTTTTATTTTACTTAGTATGTTGTAAAAAATTGATGAATTTTATTAAGAAGCTATAAATTACTGCTTTCTGGAAACCCATTAAGATTCAATAATTTTAGAAGTATAATTTAAAGTAATTGGCTAATTTAACAGTATGCTTTAAGTAAGGAATTTCCTTATTCATTTAATGGAGAGAGGGAGAGAATATAACAATTCTCTTTATTCAGTAATTTATATTACGCAGGTTTAGGGGAACCAAATATCAGAGTGCTTTAGAGCCTGCTTGAATGAATATTTCCAGTCGATATTTTTAGTAGTCCTGAACGCCCATCATTGCCAGAAGGAACCTTCTTTGATCTCCTGAAGTGTCACCCTTGACCATTTCCTCCAGCTCCATTTGATACATTTGTGCGAATTGTTCCTTAATGCGTGCCAAGTCAGTCTAAAATAAGTAAAGAGCTGGTTTACGTGATTTCATGCCTTCCTACATAAACTGATTGGCATATCATACAGAGAACAATCCAATAAGAAAATCCAATAATACAAACAAAATATAGTACCAATGATAGAAATAATTAGGCTAACTAACATTGCAATGGGCCATAATCATTCGAACAAGGTCCTCATCATGGGTTCCTGCTCCCTCCATAGATTTGTAGAGGACCTCCGCATAAAATCGATCCCTGTTAAGGGCCGCTTTCACTAAAATGTTACCCAAATTTAGAATGTTTATTCATAGTTATGTATTATTATCAAATGTATTTTCATACAAATTGTGATCAGAGCATCACGATAGTCTCCTGAGGTTTCCTTTTCAATAGCAGTGAAAAGATCGTTTCCGACAGCCTAGATAGGAAGATAATGGGAAAAAACAAAGCGATAAAGTTAAAAATATGATTTCAATAAGTTTTAGTAAATTTACCTCGAGGTAGATGGTTGCAATTGCAACAAGTTCTTCCCACGGACAGGTAACGAAAACTCGAGTAAATTGGGATTCATCAGTACCACGTCGTCTAAAATGTGGGTAAAAGTTGTTTTAATATCACTCCAATCGCCAGGAATTATGAATACACGCAATCAATCTGATCAATTTACCCCTCTCCAGATTTGTATAAAGTTTCGCAATCCTGGACAGCATCTTCCTTGTCAAATGTTTGCCGACGTTTAGCTTGCAAAAGAGCAACCAAAACACGCTCAAAATCTCCACTCACATCATCGATAACATCCTGCTCCAGAGATCGTCTAGCAACTATAATAGATAAGAAAGATTTTTAAGTAAATTTATAGTTGTATTCAAATTATAATGGAGTATATGCAAATGCGGATTCTAATTATTTGCCTTTTTGAAACATTTTTTTTAATAAAATTTTGACCCGATAATAAAAACTACCAAGCAATTATAAAATGTGTCTGAAAAAAACATATTTTATTCAAGCACCTGAATTTCAATTTTATTTTACTTAAATCAATAAAATAAACAATAGTTCAGATTCTACTGTTATATAATTTAAAAGCATAATGGACGCTCTTTTTCACAAATTCTACTTACGATTTTGGCGTTCTGCTGCGAGAACTAAAATTAATAAAATAACAATTTGCTTTAGTTCTTTACCATTCGAAGTAAATGGCAATATATAACGCAAAAATAAAATAATCGATGTATCTCTTTCTTTATCTCAAAATACAACTCACCATCTCTATAGGCGGCTTTGAGTTCAAGAATCTCCTCGTTAGTACTTGAGCAGAGAACATGAATCAGGACCTTTTCATCGGTGCCAAGGCCCTTCATGGCTCGATAGAGAGCCCAGGCATTAACGTGAGCCTTATCGAAGAAAGAATAGAATACAGCCAAACGAAAGAAACCACTCAGTTCCTTGTGAAGCTGATCCAGAAGATTCTACCAAGGAAAGTAGAATGCAGATTTGAAATTATCTCTAAACCTACCTGACCGTATGTTGCCTGAAAAGTCTTTGCAATTTGTTGTCTTTGTTCAAGGGATCGGTGAGAAAGCAAATCAATAATCGCTTTCTCATCAGTTCCTAATGTAGGATTTAAAATCACTGTTTGAAATAATACGCATACCAAGTCCCTTCATTGCCGTGTATAGCACCTCAGAGTCCGCTTGGGGATTGAAGTCGGGGCTAGCATGAACGGTGGCCATTAATGAAGTCAAGGAGAAGAAGAAGAAGACGTGTTGACGTGAAGCCAAGAATAATTTTTGTGCGAATTGGTGCCTTTATTTGTATTCAGGTACTAGAGTAGCACGCACCAAGAAAATTGCGAGAATCATTTACCGTTTAGCATTCTCATAGAGTGTGCTTTAAGCACACGTAATAAACAAAAGGTTGCCAAGAATTGCATGTGATAATCTTTGTCTCCCGTTACTTCTATGACTAATCAATATTTATGACCTAAGAGATCCAATTTAAGTTTTCACACAATTGTTCGAGGTACTCATTATCATGACAATGCGAGGACTCAATCTATAAAACCTTTTTATTAATGCAATGCGTAACCGTGGCTGGAAAGCAAGGAATGATACAATTAGAAAAATAAAATGCTTCTCCTCATAATTGATTAATTCCTGAATATTAGCATAAATTTTCAATTTGAAAGTGTGCTCTGTTATTTTATCCGTGTTTTCCTGTCTAGAAACGCAACTCATGGAGTATGTCGGTTTGGGAATTGCGAAGATTTCTATAATTATGAAATATATTAAACGAATTATTCTGCAGAAAGAAATTATCGAAAAACCACTGGTGGATTTTTGTATTTAAATAGTTTAAAAAGACTTGACTTAATATTTTACATAAACTCATTTTATTGATTTAAATATCCATTTATGAATTCCGGTCTATCTTCCAAGAAGATGGAAAGTGAATGAACTTTGCATTTTTTCTCAGCCGATTGTTTTTCAAATTTACAAATTACCAGATAGCAAAACTTCTCAAGATTGTAAGCTCGTAGTATTTATCCCATCGGTTTTACTGAGTCGGAATTGAGATTTTTCTAGTGACCTGAAGTTTTAGGATAATCCCATTCTTTTAAAGCCATTTTTATTGATAAAAATTTTCAGCATAAGGAGTAACAATCACGGGCAACATCTTGTTTTAAGAAAAAAAACAGCCAACATTATTGTTTATTCCGAAATATCGACATTTCCATTCAACATCCCCTTCTTCTTCCACGGATATAAAAAAATACAACAGCCCTAAATAATAAATTCTACACTTAATCCTAAAATTTGCAACTCAGTATAAATTTTATTTCATGC